CCTGCGTGGTTGCAAGGGAAAGGCGCTGGCAGTTGCCCAATCCAGGAAAAAGGTACTTCCTACAGTTGGCAGCGAGGGTAGTGCGTGACGTTAACCAAATGCGCGACGAGAATGGCGTTGGGTACGCTCGCAAGACCATGATTTGTTGTGGTCTTTAACTGGACCTGAATGCCCAATGGAGGGTCGAGCAACTGTTTCCTCATTTACAGGAAATAATCAAGCGTCATACTGAGCACTTCGAAGGCACCCCAGTGGAGGGATTGGTTGTGGGTGCAGCATAGTATACGTTCTACAGTTTAAGAGCCTTGCTACATTTTCTCTTAGATTTTAATGAAAAATAAAGGTTACATCAATTGCAGTCTGTTCCTTTATAGTGAAGCGAACACTATTTGTTTTTTGGGTGGAATTTGACGCAGTCAGAATACTGTAGCCTGCACTAATTCAGATGCTTCACTATTTCAGCACCAACACTAATTACCCTATTCGGTGTAGTGTCTATCGGACCATCAGTCCTCATATGAAGACAACAGTTATTTTGTTTTTTATAGGCAATGCAATGCGCGATTTCCCTTTTTTGCAGCCAGAAGGCCCTCACTACAGGTAAATCGCTTGCTTATCGGTTCCAACGAAAACCAACTCATTGGTGCACGTAAAGGTTTTCAAAAGTGTGATTCCAGGAACACCGATGCCCCCGATCCCCTGGGGGTCGGGCGGCCGGCGGTGACTTTATTGTGCAAGTGAGTTGTGCCCTATTGGCTACGTCTTATCGTAGGTGGGTGACTTACTTGTCTCTATATGGAACCATTTGGTTGCGTGTTTTTGTGCAGGCTGGCCGAGCGTCGTTTGTGGGTTCTGTATGGAACCACACTCCCCCCGACGCGAGGGCTGGCTTGCACTTGTTGCTTTCGGGCGGATCTGTATGTGGTTTTTGTGCCTTGTGTACAGGGTCGCCTTGAGCGGCTTCGTAAAGATGTCTGCGTACTGTTCCGTAGTGGGTATGCGTTCGATCTTCATTTCGCCTTTTTGCACAGTGTCGTGCAGGTAATGGTAGCGCTCGTCGATGCACTTGCGTCGTCGTGTCGCTCCCATGCTTTTTGCCATCTGCACGGCGGCGGTGTTGTCGACGTGCAGGGTTGGTCTTGTGGTCGGTAGTGGCGTTTCCCTGATGAGGTTTTGGAGCCATATTGTGAGGGTGGTGGCCTTCGCTGCGGCTATGTACTCCGCCTCACAGGTGCTCTTCGAGACTACCGGTTGCTGCCGTGCCAGCCACTGCACGGGTGCGTTGTTGACCATTGTGAGCATGCTCGTTATTGATTTGCGGGTGCTCTGGTCGTTGGCATAATCGGCGTCCGAGTAAGCCTTGACCTGCACTTGCTTGCTGTTGTTGGAGGACATCATGATGCCCTCATTGCCAGTGGTGTGCAGGTATTGGGTGAGCCGTTGTGCAAGATTCCAGTGTCGTTTTGTTGGTTTCTTGAGGGCTCGGGCGAGTGCGGTGGCTGCGAAGGCAATGTCGGGGCGCGTACTGTCGGCTATGTAGCGTATTTCCCCGACCGCTTTTGAAAAGATGTCCTCAATGTCTTCGCGCCTTGCTTCGCTGTCTGTTGGTGGGTCCATGGTGATGCCATCCAGATACGGTGTGCTCTTTTTGTTGCACTGCCCTTGGGAGAGGAGGGATACCACACTGTCGATGTGTGTGGGTTGAGAAATATGGATTCCCTCTTTTGTGTATCGGATTGTCCAGTTGAGGTACTTTTTTGGTTTCCCCATGCGTTTGACCTTGTCTTTCCGCTTGAGTGTGCGGTACAGGTCATCGATGAGGGCTGGGTCCGATGCTATGGGCAGGAAGTCATCCATACTGATGCCGATCAGTATGATGTGTTTGCCTTGCCTTTTGATGAACAGAGATGTGTCGGATCTCATTTGTTCATAACCATATTTTTTGAGATGGCTGTGTAGGTTGGTGCTGTAAATGTTTGCAGCTGCCGGGGTGCCATACAAATTGCCTCTCAGTTCTCCGTGTGTTGCTTGATGCTTGTATGTGCCATCGAAGCGTTGGGGTTGCCAGACGTATACTTTTTTTTTGTGTTGGTATTTTTCATGTAGATACGCGCCTGTAATGTCGAAATGTTCAATTGCCATGTTCATGGATGCTGCAAGTGCGAACAGTGTTCTGATTGTTGTGCGGTCTGCCATGTAAGTGGCTGTTTTATCCTGGTCATAGTGCACGTGGGGGGTCATCCTATCGCCGCGGATCGAGCACCTGGCCTTGCGCGTCACGGATTTTTTGTCCTGTCCATGTTTGTATCGATATGTCATGGTGGTGGTGATTATTTCTTTCCGTTTGGGGCTTGCCGTTTGGGATGTCCAGTCTATGGCGTGCATGGCGTCGAGTTGGTCGAGCTCGGCGTTGTGCTCCATTTTTGCGCGTCCGGGTATTTTATCGCCTGCTTGAGGGTCTTGGGTGGCCGCGTTGTTTCGTCAATTTTTGTTGGCACCGGTTTGGCTTGACGTTTCCGTGTGCGTGGTTTCTTGGTGGGTGCTTGTTTCGCTTGTGTTTTGCGGCGTGTGGTGCGTTTGACGTGAAAGGCCTCGTTGACTGTGTTGCAGGGGTCGCTGTGCCGGTGGTATGGCCGGAAGTGTGATGCTCGCATTTTGGAGTATCTTCTTGTGACAATGTTTTGGACGCAGATGTGCGTGTCGTCGATTCCGAACATGTAGCGTACCGGCGTTGCTTTGTTCTGCAGTTTGGGTGCGTTTGGTTTCAGGATCAGCGTGTATCCGACTGGTCCGAAGGTGAAGATTTTTTGGATCTGCGGTGGGGTGTCGTGCCATGCAGTGTAGGGTATTCCTTTCAACCCGTGGTGGTAGGTGAGATTGTACTTGAAGACGGCGTCTTGTAGTGCATCTTGCCAGTGCACGTGTGGCAGTCGGCTGTGTGAAAGTGTGGCTCGTACTTTCTCCATAAGTGTGCGGTTAATTCGTTCCGCCAGCGCGTTCTCCTGCGGTGTGTAGGGTGTTGTTGGTCTGAATTTTATGCCCCTCATCTGCAGTTGTTCCTGTACTGCTTTTGCGAGATAATCTTTTGCATTGTCTGTGACCAGGAGACGTGGGTATTGGTCGTTTTGTGCTGCGGTGTGTTCTATCGCATTGATTATTGTGTTTGGCACCTGCGCACGATTGTTCAGGCAGTACACCCATATATATCGGGTGGTTGTGTCGATCAGGGTGAGGAAGTAGTTGGCGTTGTGTGTGGACGTTGGTTTAATTAGTCCGCATACGTCCGATGACAGGCTTTCCCCTTTTCCTGCCGTGTGGGTTGTTCGGCGGTGTGGTCTGGTTGTCGTCTTCCCGTGTATGCACCCGCTGCAGGTGATTCGGGCACTGGTGTCCGTGATCCCGCGTGGGAGGGCTGGGAGTAGTCCGTTTTTGGACATGATTGCCAGTGTTTTGGGGTGGGCGTGTCCGAGCTTGAGGTGCCATTTGTGGAGGCGTTGTTGTGTCTCGCTCTGTTTCGCCTTTGTTTGTTTGGGTCCGATGGCCGTTCGGAGGTTGGGGGTTCGTTTGGTTTTTGCTGAGAAAGGGTTGTCGTTTCTGGTCGTTTTCGTGCGTTGCTGTTGGCTTGGGACAGTGGTGGGTCTGGTGTGTGTTGTCGGTTTGTTTATCGAGGTTTTTCTGTGTGTGTAAGTACGTGCTCCTTTTGCCGTTGGCTTGGTCGTGGTTTGTGTCCGGTATTGGCCTTGCTTGTACGTTGCTGTGAGCAGACTGGGCGGTAGTTGTGTGCGGTGGTGGAGGTGCGCATGCGTTCGCGTGAATGTGACGTCCCCATGTGCGGTGAGGTCATGTACTGACAGGAGGTTTTCTTTGATTTTTGGCGTGTGTACGGCGGGTAGTCGTAGGTTGTTATTCTTCGTCTGTATGTTGATTGTGTCCGTGTGCGTGATTTTTTCGCGTTGTCCGTTTGCGGTTTGGGTTAGTGTTCCCGTGCTCAGGTGCATGTTCGCGTGGGGTGTGGCGGTATGCGTGGGCTGAGCTCCGGAGTCTAATATAAATGTGGTCTTACCGTCGTCGTCGTGTGACTTTTGTTGTTCTTCGATCACGCCTTCCAGGAAGTGGAGACGTTCTCGCAGCTCGTCTACTTCTCTTTCGTTGGGCTCGTTGTCAGTGCTCGCTGTCGCTTGGTTCGCTCGTGCGGTTCGCTGTATGTTCTGATTTCTTCGCGCAAAGCAGTTTTCGGTGCTGTGCGTGATACTACCGTGCTGGTGACACCATACTCCGGTGTGTCCTTTCGGTTTTTCGTAGTGGCGCGGTTTGGCTCTCGGTCTGGTGGTGCGTGTGGTTCTGTTGCTCTGCGTGGGTTTGTCACGTGTGGCAGTTGGGCGTTCCATGGATGGGTACTGCATTTTGGGAGCTTGATCTTGGATCAGCTGGACCTGTTGGAGGTGGTTGGTAAATTCCCTGATTGTGGTGGGTGGGTTGCAGGTCATCAATATTGCTAGTGCGTGCATTTCGGGGTGCTGGGCGAGCCCTTGGACCATGTATCTGACCGTTGTTCGTTCTGCCTCGATGTTGGGGTAGCCGGACACTTGCATTCTGTGTCGTATTTCACGGTGTTTCGTGATGTAGTCTGCGATTTCTTGTCCCGTTGTGTACTTGAGGTTTCTGGCTTCGGCGTCCAGCAGCTCATGGTTTTCGATTGAGCACGTGTCGACCGTTTGTTTGATGATCGTGCATATAGTATGCGGGTTGTATCTTAGTACGTGAGGGGGCAGGAGTTTGACTACTTCTGGGCTGAGGCTTTGCATGATCGCCTTTCTGAGTTGGTCTTCTTTCTTTTGTTGCGTTGTTTGGATTGTTGGGTCTGTTGTTGATAGGATCGTGTTGGTGAGTTGTGGGTGTGCGTCTATTGTTCGTGCGTGTATTTCTAGCGCGTCGTACCAATAGGAAAAACTGATGGGGTTAGTTGGGGCAGGTTGCCCGGTGTGTGCGTGCTGTTACTCATGTTGGGGTTTCGTTTCTGCTGTTGGGGTGATCGGGTCGGAGGGTATTGCAGTCCGGCTCGTCTGTTTGCACTTGGTGATCGGCTGTTAACGTCTGCCGTGGATGGGGGATGGTGGTTGACGGATCGTGTTCAGTGGTTGCGAATGAGGCCCATAACCTGTGATTCCAGGAACACCGATGCCCCCGATCCCCTGGGGGTCGGGCGGCCGGCGGTGACTTTATTGTGCAAGTGAGTTGTGCCCTATTGGCTACGTCTTATCGTAGGTGGGTGACCTACTTGTCTCTGTATGGAACCACAAAAAGAAAACGTTGGCATACAGTAGGCATTATTCTCTAAGCTAATTTTATGTTACAGAGAGTACCAATGGTGCAGTTGTGAGTAGTGCAAACAGGCAATAGTGCAGATCAAAACCGCTTTTCATGACTATCGACACGTGTATGCATCTCAGAAAAGCAAAGCGTTCAGGTAAAACCACTTTATGAAGTGATTTGCGAGATCCTCCCTTGAATAGTTCAATACACCAATAGTGCAGTATTCCACCGCGTGTCACGGTACTGCACTATTGAGCGGTATGGACTGTGGTACCGTAGCATAGAAAGATGGCCTTGACAGAGCATGAGGGCTTTCTATTCGGGTTCCAACTTCAGAAAATTTTAAAACGTGTCAACCTACTAAAGAAAAATAGAAACCGTAGACATCAAAGTTGAAAAGAAATAAAATTCGCTGACTTTATGTTATGATAACGCTTGGTCGGATAGACACTAGTGTCTAGGTGACAAATGGCCTCATATGAGGCCAGTTTTTAGGCGGGCTTTTGCAATTCGAATAATTGTAGAAATTTATCGCTACTGTAGTGAAAAGCTTACGACTAGAGTACTAAACGTTGGCAAACCAGAAAACATTCAATTCCGTATCTCAGTCTTCCCTAATCAACACTTTCGTCTTCCTCTTCCCAAAATTTCTTCAAAATGGTGAGCGTCAATGATCCTCGAATTATTGCAGGTAACCGCGTCCACACTCGTGCAAGACTGCTCACAGCTCAGAGTAAATGTCGGCGCATGTATGGAGCCTCCTGGAAGATCAAGTTGGTCACGGGAACTGTCATTAGCATGAAAACTGACAAAGTGAAGGGTCGCAGTGTCACTTCAGTCAGGGCTAAATGGGAATTATCAGATGGCGTCAAGGAAGTCACGCTTCGCATAGCTAACATCAAGGCTGGTGAAGTGATGGACCTGATCGATGACGGTCCTGAAGATCATATCTATCAAGAAACTGAACATTATGCGCAACCGGAGCCTACAGAGGACCGCGTGACGCCACTGGAAGGAGCATTCAGCCCGAGTACGAGAATCTCCGAGAGTGACGAAATGGATTCCCAAGATGGCCTCATGAATGTCCACGGCCGGGCCTGGAAGCGTGAGGAAGTCACGATGCATTTTAATGATATGATACCGCCGAGAAGATGGAAGGTGATTGGACCGATTGATGAGATTATATCCCGTGGTCACAGTCCATCTCAAATGCATCCCATGGACTACTTCATGTGGATGTTCCCACAGGAGCACTTGGCATTAATGGTTTCCTACACCAACGATGCAATGGAATCAAGGGGACTTCGCTTGACTACAAGAGGTGAAATTTTGAAGTTTTTCGGGGTGCTAATCCTTATGACTCGGATTGAATCAGCACCAGAAGGTCTCTTTGGAGCTCACAGGAAACCAGCAAATATCTCCCGCAACCTCAATTCGGAAACATCATCTCCCGCAGAAGATTCGAAGAGCTTCGTCAGAATGTCACGTTCAGCTTTCCAGCTGATTCACATGACAGATGGGGTATGATCAGGGACTTCATGGTCGCAATCAATGATCACAGAGCATCACATGTGATTCCATCACAGAACATCTGCGTTGATGAGAGTATGTCACGCTGGTATGGACTTGGAGGAGATTGGATTGAAACCGGTCTTCCTCATTATGTGGCCATGGACCGAAAACCCGAGAATGGCTGTGAGTTGAAGACTGCTGCATGTGGAAAAAGTGGAATCATAATAAGAATTGAGAACGTCGTCTCAGCTGAGGAGACTTCTTTAAAAGATTTTGAAAGTGACCACTTACACGGAACGGCAGTGACTTTGAGGTTGTTACAGCCATGGTTTCACACCAATCGTGTTGTCTGCGCGGATTCGTACTTTGCTTCTGTCCACACGGCTGAATCACTTTATGAGAAAGGTCTTAGATTCACAGGTGTGGTGAAGACATCTACCAAGAAATATCCGATGAAATATCTATCTCATCTGGAGATTGCTGAAAAGGGAGAGCACGTCACACTAGTTTCGAAGCCAGTGGCCGGGCCTCATCTCATGGCAGTGATGTGGGTGGACCGAGACCGCAGATACTTTATTAGTTCTGTCGGAACATCCAACGAAGGAACTCCAATCTACCGCGAGAGATGGCGTACACGTCATGGCGTGACAAGAAAAGAGGAATTGTCTATCAGTATGCCCTCAGTCTGCGAGCAGTATTATGAAACTTGCTCTCAGATTGACCGCCACAACAGATCTCGTCAGGATGATCTCGGCTTGGAAAAGAAGTTCGAAGTCAAGGAGTGGTCTATGCGTGTCAACACTTCTTTATTGGCCATTTGCATTGTGGATGCATGGAAACTGTATGCAGGTGCAAAAGGAGATGGTTCTAAGATGTCTCCAAATCAGTTTTATTGTGAGCTTGCTGACCAGTTGATTGATAACAAGTATGATCGTATATCGTGACGTCAGCGAGAATCAGACAGTGCTGTTGAAGATGAAGATGTTAGGTTTGGTAGTGGAATTGGTACTCACCTAACTCCAACCACTCACAAGCGGAAAAGCGCATCCGGCGAGGATACCTGTGCTCTTTATCAATCCAGATGCAATATTTGCAAAGGTACAAAAAAGTCAAAGTTTATTTGCTCAGCCTGCAAGGTATATTTGACAAAGAAGTATACCTTTGTCATCACCAGACTGGGCGTGACTGTTTTAAGAAACATGTCGACGAACGTCACGATCTTACTTACAAAGGTAAGTACTACTAGTGCTTAAAGCGTTCTCGGCCATTAAAACTGACTAAATGGGTCAGCATTTGAATAAAATAGAGCAAAAAGAGATAAAAAACTCCTTGTGCCCCCTATGGTTCTATCCTGCGTCTAAAGACTTGCTTGGAAGACCTGCAGCCGTGTCGGAATGCCCCTTTATGAGATGTCACCGTATTCAATCTCATGTTCGAGTGGGCGCTATAAAGCGTCCTGGGCTGCAGGTCACGAACAAGAACCATCGAGATCCCCGAAGGGATTTTTCGACCACTAAAGTGCTCAGCGAGGAGTTGAACCCCGGCCTCTAAGACTCAGCGATCCTTGCAGACCACTGAGATGGCTTGTCAGTTACTAACTAGTCGTTTATAGTTGTCTTTATAGTCGTTCAAAGTTCTACTTCGTAAAAATTGTGCTCCTTTTGTTGTATACTTGCGAAAATCTTAAATTTTGTTTAAAATTTACTGTAGAGCATTTGACCTCATATGAGGTCAAGGGTGACCTCACATGAGGCAAATTGCCGGTCGTCTACAGTAGACACTAGAAACATCGAACACGGTAACAAACTCAACAAGAACTGAGATGTGGTTGGTGCGCTACCCTTGGTAGCTATTTTCTTCTACGCTGCTGAGACGCACAGGATTCGGGGTCGTGTCGACGCACATAAAACATCTGAAAATGTTTTAGAGATTTTAGCTGTCGACGCACAAAATGGTTGATGCGTCGTGTCAGGCGTCGGTGTCTATGGCTCATCTTACAGACTTGTTGATATGTTATAAGCAGCGCATGTGAGCGCTACGTGCTACGGTGCAAACAGTTCACTCGATGAAGTAAGTTATTTGCTACCACTGTGCGCGAAACGCGTCGGGTCACCCAGCGCTGCAAAGATAGGAGTAAGTTGATTCATTTTTTTCCACTAAGAACAATCGGCAACAGAACGCGAGGGGGGGGTGTCATTACGCGTACGTGTACATGTGTATACGTGTACACCTGCACCCGTAGGGACGTCGGAGGGTACTGCCCCTTTGGGGCAGAAGGGGGATAGAAAGATAAAGGGAGGGACGGGGGTAACGGAAAACTTGACAACTTCACAGGGGGGATGCATGTTGGCGGAAACCGCGCTTGTTGCAGGGCAACAGTATTTCAAGTCTCCCTCGACGTGTAGAACCTGCTGTGTCAATATTCGTGCACTACTGTACACACGACGGCACACGTGTCACACTTGCGCCGGCGGACGATTGCAAGCCCGCCGACGCCGCCCACTCCCCGCTCTGTATTTAGCGCCGTCCCGCCGTCCTGTAGCCAGACGCCCGGTCAAGAGGGACATCAGTAAAAGTGAAAAGGCTACTTTCGTCTTTCCCTTTTCCGCGTCTGCTCGCTCCGCCTCATTCCCCTTTTCGCCTCCATTTCCAGACGCCCACTCCCACTCCGGCCAGACGTCCCTCCCGAGAGTTTGACCTCTCGTACCCCGGCCGCGGCCTCGCGACTTTCAGTGACACGCTGGGCCTTTTGAACTGGAGCCTGCGTGGCTGCTACCGGGACTGTCAGCCATTGTAATTGTAACTACAGTGGGTTCGTGTAAAATTGTTGGCTTAATAAGCCAGCCCTTTTGAGTAACATTGTGATTTATGTCAGTTATAAATCCGTCTAGCGTGTAATAAAGCCGTTTTTTTTTGAGTGGTGTGCTTAAATTTAGCGTGCGTGTCAAAATTCCAAGTCATGGGGGTATGATACATCTCCCGTCAGCAGCCGTTACGTTGTGAACAGGCCCCCGATTGAAGATTCCGAACTCGCCGAGTTCGGAATAGTATAAAGCCTTGGCGAGTGTTTTAGCTGACGTTTATAAACGTCAGCTGCAACATCCGACCGTATTTCTGCGCATTTCCGTGCTCTACTCTTTCATCGCATCTTATCATGCGTTCCGCAATACTGAGAAGAAGGGGCACATTTGGCAAGCCTCGGAGGCAGGACTCCGTCCCTTATGCATCCCTTTGCTTTCTTATCGGTCTTGGTTTTTGCGCCGTCTGGTTTTCAGGTACGGATTCCCCGAATGACTCCCTTTCAACTGAAAACTCGCTACTTGGTATTGTCGCCGCACGCAACAGTAATTCGTACGGCGATTTGTGCGACCCTGACAAAGGCGTCTTTGGCAGTGAATATGCCTTATTTTTCCTCATCCCTGGAATCATCGTAGCATTCGTAGGCCTTGCTATCGTCACGGATGACTACTTTGTGGCTGCTCTCGAGCGGATTTGCGAACGTCTTGACCTTAGCGAGGATGTCGCAGGGGCTACTTTTATGGCAGCGGGGTCTAGTACACCGGAATTCTTTGCTTCCATGCTCAGTGTCTTCGTTACTGAAGACGAAGTTGGTATCGGCACTATTGTTGGAAGTGCCGTTTTCAATGTTCTCGTCATTATTGGCCTCAGCGCGGCTCTCGCTGGTTCAGTGCTAAGCCTTGACTGGCGGCCGCTTGCTCGCGACTCTGCGTTTTATATGATGAGTATTGTCTTGCTTTTAACTTTTGTTCTCGGTTCGTCAAGGGGTGAGATTAAGTGGTATGAAGGTTTGATTCTCGTCTTTGGTTACGTTTTGTATGTCTTGTTTATGGCGTTTGGTAACAAGCCGTACATGAAATGGGCAAAGAACCTCAAATTTGGGAAAAGTGCACAGGAACCAGACCTTGAGAAAGGCGATAATTCGCCCGGAGATTCGGAACAAGTCTGGACGCCGTCTGTTGTCCCAGACCCTACACCCACGAAAACGAGATACAGTGACCTCACTCCTCGTAGCAAATTCCGCGCAGCACAGTTCGGTGTCATTGCCACAATCCGGATGGCTTCTCATTCTTCTTCGCAGGATCTCGAAGACACAGCCACTGAGGAAAAGAGCTCCTCCCGCGCTATTCTTGGTGTCGATTTGCCAAGCAGCGTTGTGGGTTGGATTTTCTTCCCACTGACTTTCTTCTGGAGGCTACTGTTCTCCATCACAATCGTGGACTGCTCAGTGGAGAAAAAGGCAAAATACTGGTGGGCAACATTTATTCTGTCAATTATTTGGATTAGTGTTATCAGTTATGTCATGGTTGAGGCAGCGCGTTTTTCTGGTTGTCTCATTGGCATTCCTGCCTCAGCGATGGGCCTAACCGTGCTAGCGGCGGGAACGAGTGTACCTGATGCCCTAGCTTCGATTTCAGTTGCTCGCGGCGGATCTGGAGACATGGCAGTGAGCAACGCCATTGGCAGCAACGTTTTCGACATCCTTCTCGGTCTCGGTTTTCCTTGGTTTATCGGCGGGCTCGCCAAAAAGACTATTACGATCCCCACTGATCCAATCACCACAGTTGTGGTCCCAATTTTGATTCTCTTCGCTATCATCGTTCTACTATTGGTCGTTCTAGTAGTTCTGCGGTGGAAGCTGCGACCTCTCCTTGGCTACATTCTCTTCGGAGTTTATGGCTTGTTTGTCACATACACTCTTTTGGATGTATACGTATTCAAGCTGAATAGTGAATAACGACGGAGGTGAAACTCGAAACAATTTAATTGTTTCGAGTTTCACTTTGCGTCAATGCTGGAGATAATGCAGGGAAAATACCCATGGGGGGTTTGGAAGGAACGAAATACTAACGCTAACTGACGGGCCAAGGACACAAGGAGATTCATTTGCACGTTTGCAGTTTTGAAGTGCGGGAAACCCACGCACGACTTGTACATAGTGACTCTGAAGTCGCGAAATATTTATGCAAGCAAGACGGCTGCTTATGCATCTGTTCATATACATGGTGAGTAAGGACGAAGGTGAAACTCGAAACAATTACATTGTTTCGAGTTTCACCTTGCGTCAGGGGTGGAGAATGCAAGGAAAAGACCCATGGGGTTTTGGAAGGAACGAAATACTAACGCTAACTGACGGGCCAAGGACGCAAGGAGATACATTTGCACGGTTGTAGTTTTGAAGTGCGGGAAACCCACCCGCGACTTGTACAAATGACTCTGAAGTCGCGAAATATATTTATGCAAGCAAGACGGCTGCTTATGCAGCGTATAACCTATTCATATACATATTTTCGATGTACATGCCATTCATATGCATTTCGGAGTATATCCAATTCATAAGCTTCCTCTCTTGCTGCGTGCGATTGAACGGATGTCCAGCGACTGTACTAACGCACCTTGTGAAAGCAGCTTCTCATTCTCGAAGGTGCTTCTGGCACGGCTGCGGGTAGCACTTCGATACATATATTTAAAAGTTATTCCTACTGTCTGTGGCGGACGCGGCCTATTAAACTGCAGGGTTTCGCCTTTAGCATCAGCCATTGCGCAAAGAGACGTAGCGCGTTTTGGGGCTTTCGGAAGCAGAACGCACGCATGTATGTATGCGCAGGTAGGCACTACTTTTACCTGATAAAGGAGAGAGGCCAGCACAAAAGTCTAAATACAGCGCGAGGAGACAGGACTAATTGAGCATTGGCAAAATCGGATTGAGTCGTCTCAGTTTAAACCAGTATGCATCCGGTGTGGCAAACGGGGTTGAAATGGTTCAGTTTTAGACCCACAAGTAAATTACTAGTAGACCTATCTTTTAATATTTTTTCTGTGTTTCTTTCCAGTGTTTTGCGCCATCGCTGTCGTTAAATCTCGGACAAACACGTGCATTTGAACAGGCGTTCGTAGATTCTGTTCCATTACGGGACTGCGAAATGGTTAGGGCAAAGCAAAGCCAATCCATTCTGCAGGCGTGATGACAAAGCTTAATTCTTTTCACACATGTGTTTGTTTTGTTGCCAGGGCTTTCGAGGTCGAGTTGCTCAGTTCAGGCTGAAAGCACTATCGATACCCTGTCAGAATATGCCTTTCACACTATGCTTGTAAAGTACCCTTGGGTAAGGGTACTGTGGATCTTCAACGTAGCCTCATTGTTTTGCAAATGGAAAATAACACTACAGTATGCATGATGTAATGTGGACCGTTGGGTCTCGCGAGGGATGGAGTAGAGAGGACCAGTTGAGTGTCAGCAGCTGCTGCTGCATGGGAAGGTAAATCGAAGCCAAAATAATTTGAATTCAATAGTTTTCAACATGGTGTGGCTGTTTCGAAAGGCGGGCAGAACATGTAGGAGGTCTGTATTGCGCAGCTTTTGAGGTAGACAACGAAATGGATCAAGCCACGAATTGCACGACTGCCAACATCGACTTTTTTTACCATACATCGGCTTAGCCGTTTGTCAACCCTACTATCCGGTCAGACTACGTAATTCTTGGCCCCGCCTTGTGCGCACGTTGCTCTCTCGTGGGGTCTCCTTGACGATCCCGAGATCAGGCCTGGCTGCGAGCTCCCCCCCCGCCTGTCGCTCGCCTATCTCAGCGCACCCCTCTCCCTTCCAGTATGACGCCTCTTTCTTTCTTCGTCCTCGTCACCCTTTTGATCGCAGTTGCTCATCCTGCTTTTGTTCCATTGCATGAGCTTTCTCAAAGCAGATCTGACTCGGTTGTTCCCGGCTTCGAGGGTGCCTCCCTCATAAGCAGGGTGGAAAGACAGGGCGACGAGGACCCCGCTCCGCTCGGCATGCCTCTTGGCGATCCAGAGCCCGCTCCGGAATCTAAGGACACCACCGGCGACGAGAAGGACGACGATGCCACGGACGATAGCGAACAGGCCGAGGGTGGCAGTGAGAATCCAGTAGATGGTGCGGATTCGAACGCTGCAGACTCGGCTTCGGCTGACTCGGACTCTTCGGGGGCCTCGGAGGAAAATGCAACCACAGACTCGGGACCGCTGGTAGAGGGTTCTTCAACGAGTGGTAGCGAAGAAGCTGACACAGCTGATACCAGAGGCGGCGAAGATGCTTCCACGGACACAGAGACTGGTGACGGAACCACGGAAGACTCAAAAGAGGATCAGCCGACCACAAAGGATGGTGAGAGCACGGAGTCAGACGCTGATGTTGATGCTGGCCATACGATTCCTGCAGGCAATTTAACCGAGGCCTTTCACGCGTTCACTCTTAACCAAATGGTTGAGATTGATGACGACGATGCAGGCTTCAAAATGGTTCCCATCTTCCAAAATGGTAGCCTCATTGGCGCTTTTGAGAGTAACCCCATGTCATCGGATGTTTCTAATCTTCCTGGAGATGTTGATGACGGAGCCTGGTACAATGACGGCCCGTACGCGGATCGCATCTCATTTCAGTATACATATGAGCTCGACGAAAGTGATTATACGATATCCAAACCAGTCATTGCGGTTGATACAGAGATGGGCGTGAGTCCTGTAGTACAGGATGAGCGTAACGAACCGTCTAGCGGTATTGGCAGTTTCACGGTGAAGTATATGTGCAAGCCTGGCGGAGTGGAAAAGTCTTTCGTTTCCCTCCACATCCAGGTCACGAAAGAGCATAGTGTGGATTTTACATGGATCAAAGTTTGCGGACACGGGAAAAACATGCATCTGGACCTTGGATTTTTGGGAAGCGATGACAAGGTTACATTGTTCAATGCGGACGGTACATACGGCACTGAAGAGCAGAACACTTTAGAGGTGGGTCCGCTTCAGCTAAGCACCGCTTTGTCTGCTGAATTGACACCTCCAGCGTGGCAATTAGATTTTCTAGACCCCTACATTGAATCAGATTCCTCCCTGATAAGTGTTTCGTTGCGCGATACGATCAAGGCGGGGACGTTGAACAGCGATGGCCCGACAAGATTTTCCGCGCACTATGAATGTATTGAGACAAGTGCCAAGGCAAAGATTACATTCACACTGGGGATTCCGCCGTGGGATAACGTTACTGCTTCGTGGAGAAAGACGTGTGGAGGAACTACTTCCGAGGCTCTTCTGATTGGAACGTCAGGCTCAAACTCTTTTGAGGTCATGCAAGACGGAGAACTCAGCGCAAAATACAACGTCACGGAGACTACGTCTGTTGAAGAATCGTACGGGAAGGTCGAGGAAATTGAAGGCAGCATGAGTTCTGTGCGGTTTTATATCACAAATAGTGATGACATTTCCGATATTCACATACAGACTATCGCCACGACAATGTCAAATCCGGACGTCGTCTCTACTCATGTGGATGTTCCCTTTACAGGCTCGAGTTCATATCTCTCCGCAAGTGGGGGTGTCGTACCGAGACGCCAAACAAAGTCTTTGAAACTTCGTTTTGCCTGCAAGAAAGTCGGAGAGTCTCTAGTTTTGGTGACGCTTCCCACTCTCAAGTACAAGAACGTGGAATTTGGATTCCTTAAGCATTGTCTTGCTCCCTCCGTGAAGCATCATTCAGGATTTTTACAAACAGCTGGGTCCATCATGGGGACACTCTTGTTCCTTGCTGTTGTTGGAGGGATTGCGGTCTGGGTTTATATGCGAAGGAGGCCTCAACCAGTGAAATATGCACCAGTATCAACATCGGAAAGTGGGCCTTGACTTTAAGGAAGTGATAATTGATTGCTTTTCTATCAACTAGTGGTACGGTGATACCGGGCAGCTGTGGGGAAGATTTTCTTTGGCGCTACTCACAGCAAGAACAACCGTCTGCACTGTTCAATATCGTAAGTACTGGTTTAAATACAGTATAGCTTACCGTAAATTTATTGCCTAGGGAGAAAATCGGCAATGCTGTCTACGTAGCTATCAGGTTGGATGTCGTTGGTCGGATCCTTTAGCCTGGCTTCCGTGGTAACACCTGAGAGGGCCAGCACACTGGAAAGGCCATTATCCTTTCCAAACAGGATATCGGTGTCAAGCCTATCCCCGACCATGCATATTTCAGACCTTTCGATATCGTATTTGCTAACAATGTAGTCAATCATGAGCGGAGAAGGCTTCCCGACGAGGATGGGTTCCTGGCCAGTACAGCCCCTAATTGCGCCGACCATGGCACCATTGCCAGCCCACTCCTGAGCATCAGTGAGATGCGTGACAGCATCGAGATTTGTGGCGATGAATTTGCAGCCTGGGTTCTCGTTGATGCAGAGCTGAGCATATTGAATCTTATAGTAGTTGATGAAGCGGTCAAACCCTACAATAACAGCACCAACATCAGGATCATGCTCCAATCGCCCACCGGGATCCATGTTGGGCTGCTTTGCCGAGTCATCTGGACCGCCAATGTAAGGCACGTCAATGAGATCGAGCTCCTGCGGAATGCCAATCTCTCCGATAATATACACTTTTTTGCCTGTTTCTTTGAAGTTGGTTTGCTCCAAGTACGCCGCTGCGGCAAAGCTGGAGGAGAAAATCTCCTCTGCTTGAGCATCAAGACCGAGCTTGGTAAACTTCTTCAAGTATCCAGCTCGGCTCTTGGTGGAGTTGTTCGTAACGAAGAAGACGCGCTTGCCAATGGACCTCAGATACTCAATAGTTTGCGGGATGCCGTCTATGAGGGAGTCTCCACGCCAGATAACACCATCGCAATCAAAAATAAAGACGTTTGTTCGGCTAATGAGTTCAGCGGCATCTGTGAGTTTGGATGCGGCGGTAGACGGCTGCGCCACTGCCGTCATCTTGGGAAGTGAAGGAGACATGCGCCCCCGGGAAACAACGGGAACAGCCTGTGGCAGACGCGGGGAGAGCTGCGGGATGCGGGCGGGGACGAAGGAGCGGGAAGGGGTGATGAGAGGGACGAAGGCCATGGTGAGTAGGACGGGGTGTGCTGTTTGGAACTTGCAGTCTGGAATGGCAGCTTGAAAGCCTGAGACTTGAAAGCCTGAGAGCGAAAACTTGAGCCGGCGGACGTCGATGGGCCACGGGGTCTTTAACCAATGGAGAAAAATGAAAGAAGTTAGAATGCAGCGGGATTTTTCTTCGAACGGAAAAGCAATGCATTGAGTGGATAGCAGGCGTTGCTCGTTTCTGGTCCACATTGCTCCCAATGAGTTGCCCTCATGCCCAATTGAAAAATGCCAACTACTTCAATGCCGGTTCCGTACTGGACAGCTGCAAATTTGGAGCGTTCAGTTGATTTTATTGGCGGCAGCTCTGCCACCGAGCGCCTCTTCCCCCTCTGATTTCCAATATTACTTGCAGAAATACCATCAAAAAATTGTCACAGCAATGATCAGAATTCATAGTCGGAGATGCAATGCGCTCCCTTGATCTCCTCTTGGAGCTCTTCGCATGACCTGTTATGTTGAGACTGCATGCCATAGATGAACTGCTTTGTACGAAATAGACCTCTTTTGTTAGAGCTGCTCTTCACGTAGGCAAGAGGTTTACGCCGTCCTTCGACCATGAATCGCTGAAATGCGCAATGCAGTGCTTCTTTCTCGACCTACACGATAATAACATCTCCTGAACTTTGCAATTCATGGTTGTTGGTCCCCTTCTTTCGATAGATGCCCTCTCGTTTTCCGGAGCCAGTTTTCCATATTTCGGTACAACTTAGCATCCCTCGGTGAAACTGAAGGAAGCACAAGCTCTAGGGCTTGGTCGAAATGTTTCCTTCTTATGAACAGTCCCGTTCCTATCCCATCAATCTCTTCATCTTTCAAACGTTCCCGCAATGCTCGTTCCCCTGCCGTTCGAATTACGGACTGCAAATCAGCGCCGGAGAACCCTTCACATTTCGGGCTGGCAGAAACTGCCTCCGTGTCTACGTCCTCCGCTATCTTCACATTTCTTATTAAAGTTTTCAGTATACTTGCCCGTCCCCTCTGGTCTGGCAAGGGCACGTATACTAGCTTGTCTAGACGTCCAGGCCGCAGCATAGCCGGGTCGATAATGTCCGGGCGATTTGTAGCCGCAACCAGAAACACTTGCTTCCGTTCTGAGAAGCCGTCCATCTCCGTAAGTAGCATGTTAACAACCCGTTCAGATGCCCCTGACTCCCCTCCTTTACCACCGCGCCGCGGTGCGAGTGCGTCCAACTCATCGAAAAATATAACGCAAGGGGAACTTGATCGAGCTCTAGCAAACACCTTGCGTACTGCAAGTTCACTGTCCCCCACGTATTTGCTCAGCAACTCGGGCCCCTTGACAGAGATGAAGTTCGCTCCGCTCTCTGCCGCCACTGCACGTGCCAAGAGCGTTTTTCCACAACCTGGAGGTCCGTACAGAAGTACTCCAGAAGGTGCGTTCAGACCCAGACTTGTGAACATTTCAGGTCGTCGGATTGGCTCAACAACGGCCATCATCATTTCTTCCCTAACCGCTTCGAGAGAGCCCACGTTGTCCCAAGATACATCTGGTCGAGTGGCAAACCCTTCACGCAGAGCTGAGGGTTGAATTGTGTTCAGAGCCTTCGCGAAATCACACATTTCTATTGCGCACCCTTCAAGATCACTCGAGGTGAATTTGCGCTTCCCAAAAAGCTCCTGCTCCTGACGCTGTACTCTTTCCAGAATTGCCGCCGCAGCGGCTGCATTTCTGGTGCAAGGTTCCTCACTAGTTCGAGAAGAGACGTCGTTCATTTGTTCATCCACAGTCTCGTTCCTTTGCTGGAGGAGCATCTCTTCTTCTTCATCAACGAGATTCCCGTTGCTAAAAGCAGTTTCCAGCATCCCTTTTTTGTCTTCGCCTATTGATACATCTCGATGTTCGTGTCCCAAGCGACGCTTCTGCGCAATTCGCCTGATGCATGCTAGGCCTGCCTCCTTCGCTAAGAGATGCAAATCCGCACCAACGTATCCTGCACTTTTCTTTGCTAAAAGTGCAGCGTCGAAATCGGCGCCAAGCTTCAAGTGCCGGCATAGTTTGGACAAAATCGCTACCCGTGCTTCCTCATCTGGTGCCCCAAGTTCGATTTCTCTATCAAAACGCCCAGCCCTTCGAAGCGCAGGCTCAAGAGATTCAGGTCGGTTTGTAGCAGCAATAACAATCACTGGTGGACACTTCTCAGAAGATGAATCAATGGCGTCGTCTGCAGACACATCTTCTGTATGTTCTGTCGCATCAAGGCGTTGATCCCGGTCGTTACCGTCAGTGCTGCGGGAATCAGGTTCTCTGTTTTCAGGCCCCGCAGGTTTGCGCATTGCTGAGCGCGTGGCCAGGTTGTCTATACATGTGAGCAGCTGTGAGACGATTCTCCTCTCCATTTCCTTACTTGCTCCTTCCCTTCGCGACGCAATGGCGTCGACTTCGTCAACAAAAATGATGCTTGGAGAAAGACGAACAGCCTCGGAAAAGATATTGCGCAGCTTGCGCTCACTCTCTCCAGACATGCCGGAGACAATTTCCGGGCCTGAAACCTTAAGAAAGGACACTCCAAAGTCACCAGCAATGGCGTGTGCCAACAGTGTCTTCCCACATCCTGGCGGTCCATGAAGAAGAATCCCTCTCGGTGGGTCGACACCCAAATGTTCATATACATTGCTATGAATCAGGGGCCACTCTATCAGCTCGCAGATATTCTCAAGAATACTTGAGATCCCGCCGACGTCATCCAGACGCTCAGCTGGCCTAGGTACCAGAAACGATTGGGCTGGGGCGTCTATACCGTCTCCGCTTGCCATTCTCGCCAAGCGACGACGCTTCCGCACGGCTGAAGCAGGATTCTGCGGGGTTCTCGGACGAACAGACGGAAGCAAGTCGTTTGAATTGGCAGCTTGGAAACCTGACTTGGGGGTCTGTCCAAGTTCGGCTGGCCTAGGTCCCCCTTCCCGTAAATCGTCACTACCATTCAAGCCCTCCTCAGGTGACGGCGGTACTGCCTTGCAAGCTTGTTTCATTGCGTTCTTGGCAAGGAAACGAAGTGCATGTTGATTGAGGCGGGAAGCATCTGGGAGTGTCCTTGATAGCAACTCTGTAGCCCCGTGCAAGTCTGTGCGGCGCAAGCTGTCAACATGAGGACGATACAATATGGTCAGGTGGTCATTATTGGATGAAGAGACGGGGCAACGACACTTGAAAATGCTGCGCAGATAAAACAAACCTTCCCGTGCGCAATGCATCTGTCAAAGCTGATACAGCTTTTCGCTCCTTCAAAGAAAGGCCGCGCCTGCCTGTCATGGCATATGAATTCGTAATATGTCAAGGAATTAGAGAAGCATGCAAGCGTCTTTATTACAAGCGTTACCGAGTGCTCCGGAACAAGCCCGGTGAGGAGCCGCCGGCGTGAAATGGGACACTTTGTGTCGTCGGAATATTCTCAAGGCAAGCGCAGTTGCCCTCATTGCTACACTGCGCTGACGTTACGCCGGCGCCATCTACTTGATTAAAAAACCTCACAAGATTAATTTATGTGATTAATTTTTAGTAATAACGTTCCAATACGAATTATGGTGAGCAAGGGTTGTCAACAGGTGGTCGTACTGCAGTCGGTTGTTGACATCAACAAACTAACTGGGGTGTTGACACCCCAGTTATTATCACCTGTTGACATCAACAGGTGATAATACCTGTTGACACCCCAGCTAGTTTGAAAGGGTAGCATCAGGCCTACATGTCGGCAGCCACATTTGTTGATCTTGAAGTTTTAGGGATTCTGCTGTATGATACGACAAAATGCCGATGTGGAGCTGTACATGTCGCGGCCGAGTGGCACAAGAATGAAGTAGATTCATCGACTCAGTCCTTCGCAGGCTAGCCTTTTCGCCTCCATTCCTACGCCTTTCTTTTCCCTCTTTCAGTTTACTTTCTGAGTTCTAGCTTCAAATTTAAGACGTCCGTCCTGAACTATACTTTCGTCCGGGCACTCAACGTTAGACTTCCTTTTGTCCATCATGTTCAAAACGATTTTCCCAACCGAAACAAGTCTTTCACCGACCCACGGTCGCACATGTGCGGAAACGATTTTCATGTAGATGAAGAGTGCTTACAGTTGGATGGGGCGTGAAAGTCTCTTTGCAAAACTTTACCCGAAACGCCAAGATATGAGAAGGGCGATCAGCATCCACATCGCTCCTTGATGGACGGTTTTTATGTCTTCACAAAGGAGCAGAATTGATGTGCAGTGCAACGTCCAGATTCCGTCAAGCGATTTTACTCTTGACTAGCTCTAGAAATTTGTCCAGCCCCAGGTCGCGCGACAAAGAAACTGAAGCAGGAATAGTCACATCACTGATAGAAGCGTACTTCTTCCGTCTCTCTCTAAGCAAATTCGGATAGCACCTCCGCAGCGACTCGTTTGGGGTTTCACCCCCAACCGGTCTGTAAGCGTCACCCCATACCACTGGCTTTGGCGTTTCGAAGTAGCTGTTGGTCATGACTTCCAGCATGTCATCACTAGCCTCAAGGTGTACGATAAGGTAATCGTTTCGAATGCGGTCCAAGGTTGCTTCGCTCAAATAGATGACGCTCCCCGTCGTGTCAAGGACCGTGTTCCTCCCAGTCACAGGACTTGCCGCAGACGTAATGCTTTCTTCGTATCCAAGGTAGCGGGCTTGGTTGGCTTCGAAGCGGTTATCCGAAGGGAATCCCATCCATTCCGCCAGACCCTCAATCCCAGAGTGGCCTAATGCTGTCAGTTCCGGCTTGATTGCGCGCTCGATCTCTTCATCCACAGAGACAATGTGAAAATCGCGGTTTCGTCCCAGTTGTAATGACCAATGCGATTTGCCGCAGTTTGACATTCCCACGAAGCATAATGCAAGGGAAGACCCCGCTATACGCGCATCGAATTCCTCTGCGGATTTGACATGCCCGGAGATTGTGGCGCAACAAACCGGACGCACATTCGTTGCTTCTCGTCTTCTAAACGCCGAATTGACCGGAGCTCCTTTAAGAGCTCGACGAGCAGAAAAGAGGGTGACCTTGAGACTTCTTGTAGAAGTTGATGAGGTGGATTGTTGACCAAGAGATCTTGAAGGAATCGCCGAGAGCGAAGACTGAAAAGCGATGCGAGCGCTACATGGATCCATCATAGTGCAGGGTGAGTAAAGGAATGCGACGAATAATGGTTTTCAGTTACGGCGAACTCTTTACATCAGAAACCGGGAACGCATATGTCAACCGGAGTACGTCGCAGACGTAACCATGCAGTAAGCTTTGTCGCAGGCAGATACATGCACAGGAACGATGATGGATAATCAGGCAAGAACGTGCTCTGTTAAGACCGGCCCAGTGTTGGGCTGTGCTCGACTACAGCACTGTACAGTGCAACCCGGGCTCTGGAACACTTTGAGCACTGCTACAAAAATGCGGACCAAAAACTAGCGCATATTCTTGCACTGAATAGAAGCATGCAGTAACGCGAATTGAGACTTCACAAAAACTTCGTCTAAATAATCAAAATAAACGATATCCACGTCACAGACTTAATCGGTATGTCCCAAAACTTATATGCGCTCTAAACAGCGCTCTAAACAACTTGATACAGCTTTTTTCTTCCGAATGAATCCTTAAAGCGAAGTAAAGGAACGAAGGTTTTCTGGGCGGAGGAACGGAAGGGGGGGCAGAGTGAAGTTTAGGGAACGGCCAGGACTGCGACACAGGCAAAAGCACGAATTGGACACTCAAGAATGCGACTGCGTGCGTCATTCGAGAAAGGTTCCTCCATAATAAGATTGACTGGTTATTATTATTGTTATTATATTAATATTAGCTACTGTGACGACAATCATTACGAATGTGCAAGGATGCGGCACGTCATGTCAAGGGACTACAAACCGTATGCACAGGAGTCATGGTCTTCGATGTCTACACAGTCGCGCAATCTGCAGATACCGAGCAGGGCAGAATCTGTTTTGGCTCTTTAGTACGAACACGGTAGTGTGACGGCCACATGTGGCATCAACTGCAGTCTCCCTAGAATAGCTTCCGGTAGCAGGTGCTCGCGTGGGGCTTTTGACTTGGTTATGAACAGAAACTCAAGGCGCGCCTGCCCCGGGCGCGAGTAGGACCCAACCTGGATCACAAAGGGGTGGAACTGTTTGTCCTCTCAACGATTGCGACATTGTGTGTTTATGTATCTAGCTTTCAAGGGGGCCGATGCTAAATCACAGGACGGGCGTCAAGGACTCACACTTGGGTGGGGCATGATAGGGCCGAGCCGTGATGAGGCACACGGGCGAGGGCCGCAGATGCAAATTCTGGGCCATATGGCGTAGCTAAGACGCTGGGAGAGACGGGAGTTGGCGGTTCCAAATGTAGTGCCGATGGATTGAGACAACTGCGAACTCACGTTGAAAACCACGTGGCCTTTTCAGTATTTTCGCATCACGGAATGCATTGACTGGGTTTCGGTCGCCAACGTTGACTCAGTGTTTTTCACTCGGATGCATCGAAGCCGGCCGTTGTCGTGCTCCAGTCACCCGCCTCCCTTCTTGTCCCCGCACGAAAAGAGGCAGCAAAACGCCGTTTCAACCTCGTAGGGAAGTAGGGCACGCCACGTGTGAGGGTGGCGGAAAAGTCGGAGATATTTTGGTACGAGGGAGTCTTCACGCACAGTACCCAAGGGTAACATCAAAGCTTCCAGGGGCCTAAAACGTTATTTTCATTGAAGGTGGCACAAATGGCGTCGGTTTAGGAGCAATATGGATCCATTTGTCACATGTGGAAAGGGCTGATTGGATATTTGCAAAAAGGTACACCAAATCACTGGCTGAAAACGCCGGGGAACGGGCATTGGTACAAATCCTTCGCAATGCAAGTCACTCTTTCTACAAAACCCGCCACCATCGCTCAACCGCCCCACCGCTTTCGACCCAACACCAATATTCGTTTGCCCCACATCGTACCGGCAGGGCTAGCATCTGCTGAACTGTGAGCAATTGAAGAAACCATGGCAGTCGGATTTGTCTCTCCAGCTCTTCGGCCGTTGAGAAAGCGGAGACCCTTTCACCGACGAAACAACACTGTGTGTGCTGCCGACGGACCAGTATCTCCGACGCGACGGGAACTGCTTCAGGCCTTTGCAGTCGCCCCACTAGCCTCTCTAGCAACCGCCTCCGAGCGGGCCTTGGCAGCAGAGACTCGCCCGCGAAGCCCGTGGGATCGATTGTATGATTCGCGCAGTGGGTCTTTCGTTCCCGCTTCGGCCCTGGCAGCGCTTCTAAGACGAGACGTTGGACTATCTTTCAATCGCTGCATCGTAGCAGGCGAAATTCACGACAACGTCTGTACGCATGCGGCCCAGCTTGCAGTCATCGATGGTGCCGCTCGCCTTCCGGATGCCATGCCGCTCACGGTTGGGTTCGAGCAATTCTATAGAATGCACAACATGTATCTAGACGCCTTTATAGAGGGGAAAATATCAACGGGTGAGCTCCTGCAGAAAACAAGATGGGCAGAGACTTGGGGCTTCGACCCGAAGCTGTACACGCCAATTTTTGAGTATTGCAGAGACAATCAGATTCCGATGGTAGGGCTCAACCTCCCAGTTCAATTTGTGAAGCAGGTGAGCAATTACGGCTTGGAAGGCCTACCAGAAGGCTTGAAGCAGTTCTTACCTGATAACATGGATGTTGGAAACAAGGAACATTACCGTCATTTCATGCAACTAATAGGCGTTGATAGCTCCCACATCGGTGCAAACCCAGATCAGGCTCTTCTTGATCGATACTACGAGGCTCAAGTGCTTTGGGAAGAATGGATGAGCCAATCTGTCGCGATGTCGCTCAAAGACCGCCCAGGCACGAGAATGGTTGCGCTTATTGGCTCTGGTCATGTCGAGGGACGGTATGGGTTTCCAAATCGCATTGAACGACGAAGCGCGGAAAGACCGTACACGGTAGTTCCGCGTCCGGTGGCATGGACCTCAAACGAAGGGCATTCCATGCCTAACATTTCTCGTCCTGAGGTGGATATCGCTGACCTAGTTTGGTACACAAGACGCAAGATTGACCTTGTATAGTGCGCAATATCTTATGAACGAATGTATTGGAATATTCTGACTAGGCGCAATCCTTGAAGACAATTTACTCTCATCAGTTTGTACAGTACCCTTCTCACTGGCTCAATGTGGGACGCATAAGAAGTTATGATAAATATGCGAATGCAGTGCGTATTCGAAGAAAATTGCCTTTATTTGGACGGGAGAATTGGTCTCCAAAGTGTGCCAGGGTCAAAGTGGGATGACGAGAAATTTCATGTCTTGCACGCTTCATCTGTAATGGGAGAGAACCAACAAAGCCGACGCTGCCGTGTGCTTGCGGGTCCTCAACAACTCGCCTTCCTCAACCTGCATCCGCTGTTTTCGGGCTCTTGGCCATTGCGAAATTGGCAAGTCGTCGCAAACTATGTCTTCGAGAGGCGACACCGCAGACTGCGCTTTCAGACGTTTCTGAGAGTCAATATTTTTTTTGTTTGCAGTATCATTCTCTACATTAAACTCCTGAATGTGATAAACGTTGGGTACGGGCGCTTTTGGAGGATTCCGCCCCTCCAAACGAACACGAACGGACTGCAAATTGCCAACCGTCGCTGCGTTTCCTGTTGCGAGGAATTTTCTATTAGATTTCTTAGGTGTGGGGTTCTTTGACAGGCATATATTCTTTCTCAGAATGTTGCGCAACACATAATCATTATTGGGAGCGACGGAAACCTCTGCAAAAGCATGAGCAGAAAACTGACCGTTTGTAAGAGCATGTGAATACAGGGGGGGGTAGCTCTATATCGCACTTTTGAATAGCGCATTACCGGATATATCGCACTGTTTCGGGCTTGACACGAAATCAGCCACGTGTATGACATTACACACGTGTCGCTCTAGGAGCCCCTAGTAGAGGCCGTACTGTACAAGCGACCCGCACAGTACCCAAGGGTACCTCCAACTTTGGCTTATGGCGACGGCGGCTGAGGAGTTCTGCCCAGTTCCACCTCATTGCCTCAACATAACTAATCAGTATCTTTTTCGAGAGTATTTGCTACATCGCACTATCGGATATATCGCACTTTGAAGCGTTGTCACACTGGGGTGCGATATATAGAAGGTACCACTGTATGTTTCATCAAACGAATATATTTAATTCGTTGCGAAATAGTTTAGCAAAATCATATGCGCGAAACTATGCGGCGCGGCATTATAATTTTGGTGTCACAATTTGAGCCTTGTCACAGATTGAGGGCCATTCCATTCATCGTGATTGGCAATCATGCAATCACGCAATCACGCGATCACGACATTAATTTAACGTCTTTCTGCAAGTTGGAGCACAAGATTAATTTTAAGTCGATTGTTTATTTCTTTAATGAGCATGACCAATTTTTAGGAAACGTAATATAAACAACCAACCACAAGGGAGCAGCCACCATTTATTGACGTGATTGCGGGATTGCGTGATTGCCAATCACGATGAATGGAATGGCCCTGAGCCTGTGAGAAGGGTAGTACAAAGTTTGTACTACAAACTGATGAGCGTACAACTTTGTACCTGAGAGCAATAGACGGGGGGCTTGGAGTATATAGTATATAGTATATACTGTATATAGTATAGTAGGGTTGTTTAATTAACAGACTATGCTGTGGGTTATGGTGTACCATACCACCCCCCCTGCTAGGACTGTACAGTTTCTATAAGCAACGCCCCGTCTCCGCTTATACCTTACGATTTCGCGGGAAGCGAGGTCTTTAAGTAGAAAATAAACGTGAAATCCTTCCCCCAGCCCGGAGCCATCTTTAACATCTACGTGCATCTGTTCCCATCGAAAGCACAGCCAAACCGCATCCTGTCTTAACTCCCGGCTTGCCTCTCTCCCTCCCATCCTCCATACCAACCATGCCGCCTCCTCCTCCACCAGCAGCGAATCTGCCCTACCTCATTGTGCAGGCCATAATTGCCTGCGTCAACGTGTTTCATGCGACAGCTTTCGCACAGCATCGCATATCTATGCGGCACAAAAAGAACCGTTTCGACCAAGACGATGTTCTAACCCTCGCACAGACGGCCACTGGTCCAGGGCGGGGCAATGCGAAGTCAGGCATCAAAAAAGCCTACATCAGACGGCGCCTCACTCACGCCTTTTATGCCTCCTCTTTCTACATGTACACACGTCAGAATGCTGTGGATTTCCAAAAGGCCACCGGGGTACAAATACATGAATTTGAGCGTATCCTTTGCGTTGCTGCGTCCGAAATAAAAGCTCCAATGAACGCCAGAATGGAGCTAACTGAGGAAGAAAACGCATTGCGGGTTCCACGAAAGCGTATGATGAAACCAGACGAGACGTTGTTTTTCTGGTTTCGCTTTCTTCGGGCAGGGAATGAAGGATCGCTTGGCACGCGAACATTGGGATCTTTGTTTGGAATCTCACATGGGACAGTGGCTCTATACATACAGCATGTATCTATGGCAATCTTTAAAAGTTTGAAGAAAGTACCTGAAGCACGAGTGGAGTGGCCGGATTCCGAAGAGCAGAAAGTGCTCGGGATAATGCTGTATGGCTTCGATAAATGTTTCGCTCTGGTTGATGGCACTAAGCAGAGACGCAATCGACCCGCGGACAATCAGATACAGGACATTGCGTATGATGGGCATCATCGCACGCATTGTTACAGTACTCTAATTTGGGTCGATCCCCTCGGAATTTATATTCATTTAGATTTCAGTGAGAAGGAGTCCGAGCATGATCGCTCTTTATTCGGCAACAGCACGCCAATTCGTAACAGGAGTGACTATTTTGGTTAAGACGAGACGATCATGGGTGACACGGGGTTCATCGGTGAAGGCCCTCTCGTCACTCCAAGTCGTGGCGGAGAAAACAACAATTTTCTATATCGATCCATCATGAACAGGGACATTCGTCATCAACGTATCTCAAACGAGTGGGGTGTGGGGGCCATTTCGAATAAGTGGAGAATTTTTTTAGGGCAGTGGCCAGTGTTCTATGAACTTAACCCCATCTGCTATCAGTCATGCGCAATGATTTTGAACTGGAATTGGCGTTTGGAGGGAACCCTTGTTCCTCTTGACAGGCGCTCAGAAAGGGTAGAGGCGTACGAAAACGGTTTGCTGGGAGGTATATAGCTGGTTAAAAGAAGGTCTACCATTAAAATGCGGGCAATGTCTACGCGTTTTTGTTTGATGAAGAACATTTTCTGAACTTCATGGCCATGGGCTTGGTGGTTTAGAGCACCACCATTCCCGAAGTGTTCATAAAAGCGATTGGTTGTTTCCAATTAAGAGAATATAATTTTTGAAAATTTTACACCATACTCGCGGGGGATTGGTCAACCTGATCCTGAGCCTCCACCATATCAACTGACCCATCATCGTGGTCAGCGTCTCCCCCATCAGCAGTGGGGTCATTTCCGTCAACGTTATCATCCTCATCGGATAGGACCACTTCAATTTCATCTGGCGTAGGGAGTGCTAAATTTACAACCGGAAGTGATTCAAAAACGGGAGCGGGCTGTCCAATGCTCGCAGCAAAAAGCAAAACCAGTGACTGTACTGCACCCACCATGCCACGAGAGGACTGCGACATGTTAATGGAAACCTCATCCTGTAATCGGTCGCGGGCCTCTGTGAGAGCTTCCTTCTTCTTAATTTTTATTTTTCTGACCTTCATGCGCTGGGCATACAAAGCACGGCCCCCATCCGATTTTTCCTTTCGCTTAGCTCGCCTTTCCCGGACAGAGTTATGCGCTTCCGCCGCTGTTTGCTGACTGGACATATACATGGCCTGAGTTGCCCTGTCCAGATTGATAGCGGCTTTGTTGCATTCGATCATCTCTTCGCCCAACGTAGCACCCCACTCTATGTCCATCCCGAGCCATTCTAACTGCAGCGCAGCGTCTTCTTCATTAAGAAGACGAAGCCCATTTCCGTCTTCCGGCGTAGTCACATCGGCAAACTTGATTTTCTCCACGTGTTTCTGAACGTTTTTTTGGAAGGTGTCTTTGATTCGATCATCAGAGAGAAGGCTGAACTTCATAGACCTACGCTCGCGATCAGCCCGGGTTTGATAATGTGCCGTTAGATCCTTTTCAATCCAGGCTTTCATATCTTCGCGAACCGTCCCACTGGAATCGGATAGAGAAGCACCGCCCTTTTCGTAAACCTGTTTTGCGAGAATTATTTGAAAGAGCTTGGTTTTCTCTGGTACGGAAAGTTTGAGCCGAGGGGTAGAAACACGAGCTGCAGATGGGGCCATTGCGTTTAAAACGTGAGGATGGTGAGAACAAGTTTCACAACGGGGGGTTTGGAGGTGGGTGGGGGGCTTTGAAGGATGCAGGGGACTCGTTTAGCATCTTGAGGATCTGTAAAAACGAGCGGTGTTAAGTACCAAGAAAATATTGGCGGGGAAACCGCCATCACGAAATGGCAAGATGGGTTACTCAGAAAGGGCGGGGTCGACTTGCGCATCTGTCATGTGCTACAAGCATAATTTATAACTGCGGCGTCCCGTCTCAAGCGGTTATACCACTGCTGTATGGATACTATAAGACCTGTAGCCGGTAGGTCGAAGTTAGACAGTACCATCGAACTGTACATGTTATAGATTTTATAAGACCCAAACACCCAAATATCGCTTAATTAAAAGACCCTAGTATATACTATATACTATACTATATACAGTATATCCTATCAAGCGTTATCATAACATAAACATATGCGAAATTTATTTCTTTTCAACTTTGATGTCCTCGGTTTCTATTTTCTTGGGTGGTTCACTCGTTTTAAATTTTTTCTAAAGTTCTAACAGAATAGGAAGGACTCTTACGCAATGTTTCTATGTCACTGATATAAAATTGGCTTAAAGAAAAGTACTTACTGTAACCTGACCTTTTCATTTGAACACCTCTACGTACTTCAACAAGTTGATTTGCGCTAGCTACAATCGACGAGCAAGATTTTTACCAGTGGTGATTGCCCTCTGGTTGCAAAAAACAAAAGTGAAATTGCACGTTGCGTTGTCTAGAAAGAATAAACAACTTTTGTCCATATATCCCTACTGTTAAATTCTATTGCTCACATATGTGTCAAAAATGTTTAAATTGCTCTGCTAGCCCCAATATTTATTTTCCCTTCTCCATAATCCGTCTGGAGCTTGACAAGACAAGAACCTATGTGTCCCCAAA